TAGTTCTAGACTTTCAGAAGTTTGAGGTCAACACACCAGGAAACTGACATCTGGAGAAGATTCTGTTTCTGTAGCCTTCTCCCTGTGTCCTCTTATTGTAGACGGAGACCTGAGGAGTCTTTTATAAGGGTCCTGTGTTAGTCACTTGTTTTGTACCTGACGAAAGGAAGACAGGGTTTATTCTGGGTCCCAGTTTGATAATACAATAATTCACAGTGGGGGAGCGCTAACTGGTAAATCCTTTGGGGGAAGGCTTGAGGCAGTCCCATGTGGTTATGAAATTGATAGCTTTGATTTTATCCTGGCTGTTTACAGGTATCTCCTGGAGACCAACCATGGTTTCTTGTTGTACAATCTTCCCATGCATAGCTGACTGATTCTTAGGGACAAGGTGAGGGGGAGAGGTAGGGGTAGGTTGTGGGAGAGGCGGAGAAAGGGGGGAAAAAGAAACTTAGAGCTGGTGGGTGGAGGGACTAAGGGAGGAGAAGAGAGGAGGGGAGGGAGAGAGAATTTCAGGAAGCAGAACAATATAATGAATTATTTACAACCATGCATATTTTGTCACCTTTGAATATTTATTTTTTGTTAGGAAAAAAAAACCCACAGATATCACCCAGTTGTCAAGGAGAGAGTATGACACAAAATTGTAAATTCTAAAGGTTGAGAATCATGGAGGTCACCATGAGTCCAAACCATACATCCTAACTAAACTGATACTGGCAAAGTCAAGGGCATTGATGTTGTTAATGGAGGTTACTATGGAAGTAAAACTGTCACATTCCACTTAGGGAAGCTCTCACAGACATACTCTTTCTTACTCTCCCTTCTGCTTACTCCTTCTCTGCTCCCACTTTCCACCCATTTTCTATCAAAGTCTCACAACTTTGTACATAAATAAAAATACTTTTAAAGCAGTATTGGAATATGTCACTTTAGTTTTGTGTCTGTTTGTGCCTCTAAGTCATTATCTAAACCATTTACTAAGTCTGTGGAGACTAGTGGATGTGCTATAAACCCAATGAGGAAATGCGTCGAGATCACTATTGCTCTCTTTAGAGAGATTAAGAATGACCTAGGGTTCAGATTCTTTGTAATGGCATATAATATGTAACCATTTGTCTGACCCATTCATTAATTCCTTCTAGAATTAAGTTTTCTCAAGTCCATCAGCGTATTAATCAATTCTTCTGGTAGGAAAACTCTTCTCACAGCTTGTTCTTGGCCTGAGAGCAACAACTAGCAGTTCTGAGTCTGTCATGTGCTGGCTGATCTCCATGTATCATATAATCTTAAAATTACCGATTTTTTTTTGTAGATTGAGGAGATTCATGTTTAAAGCTTACTGTGGCAGAACTAAGATGGAATCTATCAGTCTGACGTGCTATTTGTATTACAAATGATGACCTGTCTGCCTTTTTCATATGTATCACTTCATCCTGCCCCTTTTTGTTATTGTTTTACATACATGTTGCCTTGCTTGGATATGGCATCTTTAAAAGTAATGTTCGTGCCTCATGACAGCCTCTGCTGCTCTACCCCCTGGTGCAGTGTTATGCATATAATTGATCTTCATAATTCTTATTGCAAAAGAATGAAACATGTTATGGCGTTCTTTTTGGAGACATAGGCTATGTTCTTTATAATTTGTCTGTGTATTTCCTTTGCAAATATTTACTGGGCCTAGTATCAGCTCAGGCTTACTTTTAGAGGATCAGACCATCCTTGGCTTAAGTGTTAGTGTTGACATTTAATTGTACGCTCTTAGCTGTCTTACTTACCTTTCCCGAGCCACTGTTTTTTCAGTTTTAAGAATAATTTTAAGCACAGATTTATGAAATTGGTTAGATAATGTATGTAAGGAAATTCATGTATTGAGTTCTTGCTAAATGTCATTTCTTTGCTAAGTTTTACTCAATGTCTTATTGAAAGTAAAGTTTTACTACCCCAATGTCTTATTGAAAACAAGAGGTAGTTTTTAAAATGGAATAGGTTTTTACCATTATATTTAACTTATTATTGTCACATATCACTTTCCATAATATAAGATGTTAAAATTGATGAATTAAGATTGTTTTACATTGTAGACTTTTTGGTCTATATCTTGCCTTAATAATAGAGTTGCTCAATTAAAAAAATATAATCATGGAACTGTGAATTAAGTGCATCTATCAGCAATTGTTCATTCTAGACACACAATTCTTCGCTCAAATCTTCAGTTCTGAGATCTGCATGTTTTTAGAAAACTTCCCAAAGTAGAATGTGCAGATTTTCATATTTGATTTATGACCTTGATTTCTAAGACTTCTGATCTCGTACTTCCTCATAGTGATAAAGGGCTAATTATTAGAATATCAAATGAAGAAACATAGTTTAAAGCTCTCTTTTTTGTTTTATTTTTAGTGAAATCAGCATTGATGATAATTGGCAATGTCTATAGTTCACAACTCATACAGTAATTTGCTTTATGTTCTTCTTGACTATCTGAAGTTACTGTTTCATAGCATCATTGCTCCTGTTGAATCTTAGGATAAATAGAGTGGACACTAAAGAATCATCTATTTTCAAAATTACAGTTTGTTTTTTTTTGGATATAAAAGAATGTTTTTGGATATAATGGAAAAGAAATTGTGAAGAATTAATATAAATTATCATTTTATATTCAATTTAAATGTTCATATTTTTATTAATGAAATTTAACTTATGATAAAGATGGACTTTTGTAAACAATATTGTAATTGTTATGTAAGAAGTTCTTTAGATGCATTCAAATGTCAGTATTGAATTAGCAGTTTCAACTTTGTAAAGGTAGTAATCATAACTTCTAAAGAAAGAGCTTAGCCATCAAAAATGTCAGTCACTAGAGGAATAGGTTCTTCATATAAAAACATTTGCATTCTTCAACAGCCAATGGCATGATAAAAATTACATATTTTATCTATTACAATAAATCTGTAAGCTGAAGATTTTAAATTACACTAAAGATATGTACAATTAGAAATTTAATGGCACTCAGTATAATTTAAATATTTTAACATTCAGTAATTTCTGAAGCATATTAAGTAATCAGTCCTATTCTTGCTACCTATACTTTTTAAACACTGTGTCAAGGTACTGTTTTAAGTTTTTATGCCCTTAACATAGTCCTGTGAGGCATTATTTCTTATTTTTCTTTCTAACAAAAAGTTAAATAGCATTTTTCTTCAAAGTATTATTTAAATACAACCAAACTTTTGACTCTAGTGGATCCTCACTGCTCTGGAGCAGTCCACAGCAGCCAGCAAAAGATGAAAGACCTGTGGGCAATTTGCACCAACACCTCAGACACCCAATGGATTCTGTAACGTCTACATCCCACTCTGCCACCCAACTCCACTGACACCATCATCCCCCCCCAGGCCAGCTGTTCACTGAGACATCCGCAGCATCTATACAAGCACCACCTACTCAAGTTGGAAGAACAGATGGGAAAATAACAGTATAAGAATACATGCAACAACATAAAGAATAATTTGGCACAACCAGAACCCAGTGGTCCTCCACTGGCAAGACATGAACATGCCAACACAGATGAAACAGAAGAAAATAATCTTAAAAATAACTTTATGAAGATGATACATAGGCCTTGAAAGAGGAAATGAAAAATTCTCTTAGAGAAATCAAAGAAAAGACAAAAAATTGGAAGAAATCAATAAATCCCTTGAAGACAGTCAATAAATCCAAGAAAAAAATAATCAAACAGGTGAAAGAACCAGTTCAAGACTTGAAAATTGAAAAAGAGGTAATAAAGAAAAAAAAACTGAGGGAATTTCGGAAATTTTGGGTAACTGAAGAGGAACTACAGATGCAAGCATAAACATCAGAATACAACAGATGGAAGAGAGAATCTCAGGTGTTGAAAGTACTATAGAGGAAATAAATTCATTGATCAGAGAAAATATTAACTCTAAAAAAATTCTTAACACAAAATATCATGGGACACCATGAAAAGACCAAACCTAAGAATAATAGAGATAGAAGTAGAGGAATTCCAGTTCAAAGGCACAGAAAATATATTCAACAAAATCATAGAAAAATACTTTCCCAATATAAAAAAGACATGCCTATGAAGGTTTAAGAAGTTTACAGAACATCAAATAGATTGGACCAAAAAAAATCACATTGTCACATAATAATTAAAACATTGAATATACAGAATAAAGAAAGAATATTAAGAGCTGCAAAGGAAAAAGGCCATATAACATATAAAGGCAGACCCATCAGAATTACACCTGACTTCTCAATGGAAACTGTAAAAGCCAGAAAGTCCCGGACAGATGTTTTGCAGACACTAAGAGATGAAGGATGCAAGCCCAGACTACTATAAAGTAGCAAAACTTTCAGTCACCATAGTCAGAGAAAACCAGATATTCCATGACAAAACCAGATTTAAACAATACCTACCTACTAGTCTAGTCCTAAAGAAAGAACTCGAAGGAAAACTCCAACTCAGGGAAGTTAGCTGCACCCACAAAAACACAGGCAATAGATAATCATCTCACATCAGCAATACCCAAAGAAAGGAAACACAGACACACTACCACTGCCACCACCTAAACCAAAAATATAACCGAAGTTAACAGTCACTGGTCATTAATATCCCTTAGTATCAATGGACTCAATTTGTCTATAAAGAGACACAGGCTAACAGAATGGATGCAAAAACAGGAACCATCCCTCCGCTGCATACATGAAACACACCTCAACCTCAAAGACAGACATCATCTGTCTGGGTTGGGATCCATCTCTCTGCTGCATACAAGAAACACACCTCAATCTCAAAAACAGACATCACCTCTAAAGGGTTGGGATCAAATTTTCCAATCAGAGGGATCTAAGACGCAAGCTGGTATAGCTATTCTAATATCTGAAAAAAAAAAAAAAAGACATGGGCGGGTGGTAACAGCCTGGACACGGACTCCCGTGGTGCGGGTTGGGGCATCACCAAGGGCCTCGACCCCAAAATGGCGCTGCTGGCCAAGCACCTGCTCAAGCCGCTGCCCGCGGACCAGCAGATCGATACTGGGCCCTTCCTGGAGGCGGTGGTCCATCTGCCTTCTTCGATTGCCTTGGGTCCCCAGTGTTTACGCCCATCAAGGCAGACATAAGTGGGAACATCACTAAAATAAAGCCGTCTACGACACTGATCCAGCCAAGTTCAGGACCCTCCAGAACATCCTGGAAGTGGAGAAGGGCATGTATGGAGCGGAGTGGCCCAAAGTAGGAGCCACACTGGCACTGCTGTGGCTGAAAAGGGGCCTGCACTTCATCCAGGTGTTCCTACAGAGTATCTGTGACGGGAAACAGGATGAGAACCATCCTAACCTCATCCGTGTAAAAGCCAACAAGGCCTATGAGATGACCCTAAAGAAGTACCACGGCTGGCTAGTGCAGAAGATCTTCAAGGCAGCACTATATGCAGCACCCTACAAGTCTTACTTCCTGAAGGCTTTCCAAGGGGCAGAACGTGACGGAGGTGGAGTGCCTTGAGAAGATCCGCCTCTTCCTGGTCAACTACAGAGCCACCATTGATGCCATCTATGACATGTACACCAAAATGAACGTAGAGCTTGACTATACAGTGTAGGCGCCCAGACACAGCCCCATGTGGGAACAAGCAAGCTGGGGTGCCCAGCTTTGCCTCCAGGCCAGCCTAGGTCTGCAGGGGACAGCCTCAGCTTGTTAGAGGTCATTTGTTTTGTTCGTTGCCTATTCTAATGGAGCAATAAACACCTTCTGCTTTCCCAGCAGTACAGGTTGAGCAAGCTTCCCTCCAGTGTGGTCAAAACCAATTAACGTTGCTCAATTAACATTGCTAATGATCAATTTCTAGGGTTTTCTGTCTTTTCCTCCCCTACCCAGCTCAGGAGGAGCCCAGCCTGAGGTAGACGTACACTTCACCCAGCAAAGAGACCTGATCCATCTGGCCCAAGGATGTCTTAGATGTTTGGAGGATGATGGAGTCTGACTGGAAGTTCAGTAGGGTCCCTACTCTGGTGTCTGTTTAAAAAGCAAGCTGGTGGGAGCCCTCAACGTGGCTGGCACATCTGCCTTTGCCAGCCCTGCTCTCTCTCTTTCATTCTGTCTTTTGTCAGACAGGTTGTTTTGTTTTGTTTTGTTTTGTTTTAGCCGAAATGAACCAGCAAGCCTTTTCAGATAACTGACTAGGCACACACAAGTGACCATACATGACTGTATTTGCATACTTCTGCATAATTATTTTCTTTAGGGTTGGCTTTTCCAACCTTAGAAACTGCCTGTCATGGGAGCCAAGAAACTGCCTTGCTCCCTTAACTGTCCTTCTGGCACTAAAAAGTGCTATATTTTTTAAAGTATTGGGGTAAACAAACCATGAAAAAATTGATGTGTGTTAAAGAAAAAAAACAATGAGGAGCAATTGATGATTTTTATGCAGAAATTAAATAATCCTTAATAAATAAATCTATATTTTGAAATCAAAGAAGACTTCAAACTAAAATTAATCAAAATTGATGGAGAAGGACATTTTATATTCTATCACAGGAACAAATACATCAAGATACAGTTTCAATTCTGAACATTTATGCCCTAAATACAAGGCACCCACATTTGGTAAAGAAACATTACTAAAGCTTACCATCACATCAGACCCCACACATTGATGATGGGAAACTTGAACACCCTACTCTCACCGATGGACAGGTCTACAAGACAGAAACTTAACAGAGAGGGGAACTAACAAATGTTATGACTCAAATGAACTTAATAGCTATCTACAGATCATTTCACCCAAACACAAAAGAATATACATTCCTAGCACTTCATGGAACCTTCTCTAAAACTGACCACTTACTCGATCATAAAACAAATATCAATACATAAAAAAAACAGAATAACCCTGTGTATCTTATTGGATCACCATGGGATAAAGTTAGAATTCAACAGCAACACAGACTACAGTAAACCTATAAACTTATGGAAACTGAACAATTCTCAACTAAATTACCACTGAGTATAGGTAGGATTAACATAATGAAAATGGAGAGCATTATTTGAAATAGTCAGAATCTGGAAATAACCTAGATGCCTCTCAACCAAAGAAAAGATAAGGTAAATGTATTTATGCATTTACACAATGGAGTATTACTCAGCGGTAAAAAGCAATGATCTCATGAAGTCTGCAGGCAAATGGATGGATTAAAAAAAAGTTCTGAGTGAGGTAATCCAGACTCAGAAAGACAAACATGGTATGTATTCAATCATAAGTGAATATTAAGAGTAAAGTATAGGATAGCCAACCTATGGTCCACAGCCCAGAGAGGCCCAGAGAGGGATGCATGACTTCCCTGAGAAGGGGAAATAGAGTGGATCTCTTGGGTGAACTGGGAATGGGGACGAGGTCGGGGGATAGAAGTGTGGGAACTTTAGGGAGCAGATTTGGCAGGCTGTATGCAGGAGGCAGGTTGGAGACTAGACAGAAGTGGAGAGTTAGGTAAATGATGTCTTGATGGGGGAACTTTTTGGGATTAGGGAGAAGCATGACATCAGAGAAACCCTCAGTAATCCACAAAGATAACCCTACCTAAAACTCCTAGCAAAAGTGAAGAGGGTGCCTAAACTGGCCATCTACTGTAATCAGATTGGTGACTATCCTAAATGTCATCAGAGATAGTCTATCCAGTAACTGATGGAAGCAGATGCAGAGATCTACAGACAAGTACTGGTCTGGTACTACAGTCAAGTACTTAGCTGGCTTTTGGGGCCGGTTCCCTATGCTGGATTATCTTGTCCAGCCTTGAAGCAAGGGGAAGATCTCAGTTCTACCTCAACTTGATGTGCCATGCTTTGCTCGAGTCCACTGAGTTTGTTCATATATACACATGTCCAGGGCTGACCGTTTTAGATCAGATTATGTATGTGGGAAATCGTCCTGGGGGAAAACTGATTTTTTTCTCTCTTAGCATCTAGAGACCATCTGTAACTCCATATCTAAGGATGAAAACATGTAGGTTTCCCCTGTCTATACTGGATATTTCATTATGTTGACATATCTTTATACAGATAACTGTAACTCTCACAGTTTATTATAGAGACTTCTTTTCTCAAAGGTGGAGACTATAAACAAGATCTATAGCTGGTCTAAATGAAGAGAGTAAGTTACTCGGGTGCTCAACCCAAACTCTTATGCTCAAGGAAATTATTGATGAGGTGATGGAAAGACTGGAAGAGCTAGATGAGTAGTATTTCTGTTTGTGTGCCCTAGGTATGACAGCAAAGGCACACCCATAGGGCCTAACAGTATGCTTGTCTACTTCTGCATTTTATTGATTGCCTTCCAGAGTAGAGACTTTTAATGAATGATTTAATTTAGACACAGCATTTTACATTTGATAAAGTTCAGAATGTAATTGTTATATGGATATATTTAATAAACTAACTTCTACAAATATTAATATTTTGAGATTCAGAAACTTTATATCAGACAAGAGAGCAAAATGAATGGTGAAGTAACAACGCTATGACATTTTTCACATCTTTAATTGTAAGATAATTCAGGAACTTTCTATCCCAAAGCCTAGAATATCAAGGATTAATTAATTTTCAAATGACCTTAACCTATTTTTGTGACACTTACATGTTTTAATAATGTTGTCATATTACAAATGGAAAATGATGGAAATATTTGCTAGAGATTAGGTAACAAATTTAGACTATACATTAAGTTTTAATTTTGGAAAGAACAATGTCATCTTCTTATGCTTAGAAAGGTAATAACTTAAGGTCAAGTTAATAATATGATTTTTAAATTTTATCATATTAAGTGCATATGAATTCTATACTTCTAACACTGTCTTAGTGTATGATGCAATACGTGCTAATTACCATAAAATTAAATGATTCTTTAATGTAATTTAAAAATTTTAAAACATGAAAATATATTCTATTGAAAATGTGTGAGAGAAAAGGCAGAGTAAGGTAAATAAAAATAATCTGTACTTCGTGAACTCATAGAGACTGTGAATGTACCCAAGATCTGCACAAATTCCGTCGGACAAAATCCCAGCAAGGAAAGTGAGATGTGGATACAAAGTTCTACTCCTAATCAAGAAACTGTTTGAAATTGATACCTGCTGGGAAACTAAAAATCAGTTTTCTTCAGTGGCTTGTCACTAGGTTTATCAACCACAGCACGGGGCAGGCACCAAGACCTAGAGTAGTTAGTCGACCCAAAACAGACTCCATGATTGTGTGCACACATATTTTGTTTTGTTTTGGTAATTTGTCTTATTATTTTTTGTTTCTTTGTTTTGACCTTTGATTTGTTTTGTGTAATAGTGGGAACAGTGGGCCGCGGCCCGGCTCTCAGCTAGCTTTACCCAAAATAATTACACGGAAACTGTATTCTTTTAAACACTGCCTGGCCCATTGTCTTCAGCCCCTTATTAGCTAACTCTTACATATTGATATAACCAATTTCTAATAATCTGTGTAGCACCACAAGGTGGTGGCTTACCTGGAGGATTCTAACCCACATCTATCTCGGAGAGGAGAATCATGGCGACTGCCTGCCTCTGCTTTCTTTCTCCCACAATTCTGTTCTGTCTTCCCTGTCTCCCTATGTTCTGACCTATCAGGCCAAGCAGTTTTATTTATTAATTAACCAATGAAAGCAACAGATAGATAGAAGTCCCTCCTACATCATTTCCTCTTTTTCTGTTTAAACAAAAAGAAAGACTTTCACTTTGACATAGTAAAATTACATGTAGCAAAACAGTTATAAAGCAAGAATTACAGTCAAAATATTCATATCTATTTTATCTTTTATCATAACTAAGGAAAACAATAACTATCTACCTATTCTTCAACTCCATCAAAGACTCCAGAAGGATGTAATATTACCTAAGCAAACAAGAAGTAAGCAACTTCCAAAACTCTAGAAATGACAAAGACATCATTTTATGGGTTTGAGATGAAGAGAAAAGAGAGAGAGAAGGATGGAAGATGGAGGGAAGGAGAAAGATCTGGAAAGTGTTGGGGGAGGGGAACGAATGATCAAAATATATCGCACATAATTTTTTTTTAAATTAAAAAAACTAAAAAACCCCACAATTCTTCCAACAAGAAATGAATGCAATTAACCTGTGCCTTAACTTTTAATGCATAGAAAACATGAAACTTTCAATTCCACTTTACTTATTTGAGATTATAGATTAACTAGTGAAACACTTTGTTTTGGGGTTTTTACTAGACTGTTGTTTTGATCTGAATGTAAAATATTCACTAAATGTTCATGTGTTTGAATATTCTTTCTTGGGAGGTTGTGGAATTTTCAGAAGTTGAGGTCTAGCAGGGAAACTGGGTCAGGCTTTGAGGGTTATAGCCAAGCCTGATTCTGGAACTGGTTTTTGTCTGTGTTTCTCCACTACATAGATTTAAGAAGGTAGGCTTATACTGCTAGTGCCACAGCCAGGAGCCACCATGAACTCTGCAATGCCTCCTTTGCTATGCTGGACTTATGTCTCCAATCTGGGAGCTCCAATAGTTGTCCTCTCCCCTAGTTTCCTCTCATTATATGTTTGATCATAATATTGAGAAACCAAACACGAT